TCCTGCTGAGAGCTTACATTTTTCCAAACAAACTTTCATGTCATGCTTTTCTAGAGGGGCAGGGGAAAAAACTGGGTGTTCAACCCCAAAATGTCAGAAACTGCTGCATTGCAGTGTTAAAACCTACACGAACTAATCTTTCTTTTTTCCCCAGACATGTTCAGTATTGCTTAACTCAAAAGAAACTTTACTTGCATCATTAGGTAATTCATCTTGGGGAAGGATATTGCATCTTTAAAGGGTAACAATACAGCCTTGCATGTAGAAACGGTTCAGGGCCGTGCCATCCATTTCTTGGAGACAAACCAGGTTTCCAGTTCAACATTTTTGGTACACAGAATTGGCTGGACTTTCAAGTGCCATTTCATTTGCCTCCCCAACTAGTGTTAATATCTCATATTTAACCCATTGAGCCCCAAGTCGAAAGGAAGCCCTGAAACGTGTTTCCAAGCTGCAGGAACATGGGGGAGGGTATAGCAAAACTTCTCCCCTTCGACCCTCTCCTCAACACAGTCCATGAAAGTGTATGCCTGTGTATTGATCACTGCAGGCGGGTTGAAATCTAAACAGTTGACTGTAACCTAGCTGGTATGCATTGACAGATGTTCTATTTTTTTTTTTTTTTTTGCATATTGCATTGATTCCTTTAGTTACAACTGCATAGAAACTTAAGCTGAAGCGAAAGCTGGCTTCCCTACAAACAGATCCACCAGTAAATCCTTTTTAGCTCTTTCTGCGCTTTCATGTGCTAATCTATAACCTCCTTCTACTGTCTGACCTCACAGGGACCACCTGGTTCTCAGCCCTCGCCACACGCACAGCCTCCACCTCACAATCCTAACAGCATGATGGGACCCCACAGTCAGGTAAAGACACTAGAAATCTGCAGGGCTGTGAAACGGGACTGGTGTTCTGCTTTGCTCTTGAAGCGTATTGGGGCCAGATCGGTAGCTGGGGTAATGGGCAGCGCTCCTTCGATTTCTAATGGAGCGTTGCTGGTTACCGTCAGTGGCAAAGTCTGGCCTGTCTGTATTGGTTCAGCATCACCCCAGGCCCACTATGAAATGCTTGTTTCCTCCCAATTTGTGTATATTCAGTCGACAATGGATGAAAAGGCCATTCTTAAATTCCAACATAAATATGCTTCCCCCATGGTCGCCTGAGATTTTTGTTAATTGGAATTGGGTTTTTAAATGCGATTTGCAGCACTGATGTAAATACCTGATTGAAAGTGCTTGGTTTTGGTACTTAGCGTTGGGGGGTGGGGGTGGGCTCTGTGCTTCATTTACCAGTCTCTCTCTCTTTCTCTCTCTTTCCCACCCCCCTTTTCTCTCTCTGTCTCTGTCTCTCTCTTTAACCTGGAAAATGTCTGATGTTTAGGGTTTCCCATGCACTGGTTTTAACAGCCTGGTATAGCACTGTTGAAGTATGTTTAAACAATCTCTCCGTCCAAAATAGATCTGTGAAAATGAACAAAAAGATTTTCTGACTCTTTTTGTTTGTTTGTTTGTTTTTTCCCAACTTCTTTTTAAAAAGGGATTGCTCCAGGAAAAACGTGTAGAGTCTACCCAGAGTTTGTGTGGAATGCAGTATTTCTCTTTTATCTCCCTGTGACGAGTACGTCCTATCGCTAAACCCATTTCCTATCATTACAGCCTTTCATGTCACCACGATATGCAGGAGGTCCCCGACCCCCCATCAGAATGGGAAACCAGGTAATGTATTTTCTTACTCTCTTCCCGGTGTTGAAGTCGGGTGTCTTGGAACTGGAGCTTTTTTTTATGGCAGGAACGGGAGGCTTCTAGAAAGCTAAAAGTTTTGTGGGGAAAGAAATGTATTTGAATAGTAGATGCTGCAAAAAATATATATTAACTTATGCAACTTAACAAATTTCAACAAAGTATTTGCTCTCTTTCCTTGGGCTTTCTTGAGGCGTTGGCTCTCAAGTAACCATTTGCTGATGAGAAGACAGTCAAATGTAGTACATGGCATGACCAGATGTAGGAAACGTTCCCGTGGCTGCTGACCCCTTGGTACCTGCCCTGGGAGTTTCCAACGTAGTCCATGTTTAGTGCCGCAGAGTTTTACTTGCTTGTCGTTGGCCTGCGCCACCTCTCATGACTTCAGCTGATTGTGTTGTGATGCTGCTGGTGATAGGCGACAGTTAGCTTACGTTGTAAATTTTGCCTGGGATCTCAGCAAATTCAAGTGGGTATATGATCTTGCCGTTCGGCAGGAAAAATGGTTCATTGGAATGCTTAGCTCAGCGTCAGGGTTAAGTGGGGCAGGTCACTTCTGCATTTTTTCTTAGGTTTATCCTCTTTCTTATCCCAGCTTAAACAATAAGGGCTTGTTCATATCATTATGATCATAGCTTGGTTATGGGCAGTCGTTTTAAGATTGTAGCATTTAACTGTTGAAATTTATCCTGTCAAGAGGCATGCCAGGTAAATGTGTGCTAAGAAGCCAAATGCTCCCCTCGGTTTATTTTAGCAAAAGGTAGTTCATGTGTTTCCTTTCAGCACACGTAATATTTTAGAAATTAAGTTGGTAACTATTTTTCTATTCTGTTAATGTGTATTCTGCCTTTTTCCAAAGTCACGCTTTTTAAAAAAAAAAAAAAAAAAAAAATCCTTTTATTTTATAGTGGGACTGATAAACAAGTCAGTTGAATGCAAGTGTTTTTTTTCTAAGAGCAAGGCAGTGGAACTCCGTAAAGTTCATCTGTATTGGTTTTATTGGGTGTACTTAAGTATCAGTTTATACCTGGTTTCTCTGCTTAACTGCCTGATCTTTGAGAAAGGAAGTCTCCTGTATAACCGACAAGCTTGTTTTTCAGCAAATTTTACTAGGGAAAATTTGCTACTCAGTTTCTAGGTTCACAAAGATGAACGTGAACTATTTTACCAAGTAGCAAATAAACTTCTTGCAATGTGTGCAGTGTAAACCATAATTCCAAACCTTGTGCTATTTGGAAATAAGAGTCAAATCAGTCTCTGCCTGGTTCAAGTAAGTAGGAGGAGTATGTTTCTAATGGGGCAAAGGTTGAGGGAGCTGATAAGTAGAAAGGGAGGATTTGAGGGGCATCCTTTCTCTTGCTATCATTCACCACCCAATGTGTTTCCCTGGCTTTACTACAGGGTTTGCTGCCTCACTGAAGTCTCGTAGTGTTGTCCTGAGTCTTGGCAGGACACAAAAATGATCTTTCTGTCTCTAGGATAGGTGGCTCCTTAAGTGGCTCTGTGTAATTTTTAGAGCAGCTTACCACTGGGGACCTGACCTGGCGAGCAACAGCACCACACGCTCGGGAAAATGGATTGGGATCAAGTGGCTAAAAAGACCTGCCTTGGAGATGTAAAACCAGCGAGGTGGTCAGCAGCTTTGATGCCCTGCCCAGACCATTGCCAAAGTTGCACAGCCTGAGAATAGCTGCCCTCCGGTTCAAACTTGCTCCTGTGCCCCTACATAAGCGTAGGCGAGCACATCCCAGTTTTCCTTGGGAAGCCATCTAGGTGAATAGGTTCTGCAATTCCTTTGAGTTCCTTTAAGTAAGTGGGCACCAATACGTATTAAAGAACTCTTGTTTTGGAACCATGCTGAGCTTACTTTTCCTGTTTTCAAAGATACTGAAGAGATCAAGTTACAGTCAAGCCACAAGAACAGTCAAAATGGGAAGGTTTCTAAACGATACGCCCTTACGCTGAGAGTGAAATGGTTTAGGGCCAGAAGTGAAGCCGATGAGCCAATCTGCCTTTTCCAGGCCTAGCGAAATACAGAATATTGATGCTCTTTGACAGCACAGTTTCCCAGCGTCCCTTTAAAAGGGGTTTTCAAGAGGCTGAAAGTCCTGTTGATGACGCGCAGACAGCGGAGGGACGTGTTAGTGTTGTGCATGCCCGCGTTGTGCAGCGCATGTGCGCTCGCAGCCCGCCTCGTGTTTTATCGAATAAAGGTTCGAGGTGGAGCCGTGCTTTCATTCAACCTCAGCAAGCCAGACGAACTTGTGAATGGGGATTTTAAAGGATATTTTTAACTGTGCAATTTCACAGTCCCGATGCCACTTTTTTTTTTCACCCCGTTCTCTCTGCCTGACAGCGTAAGGTCGTTAGGAAGATAAAATAAGTTGAACTTTAAAACAGGAAAGCTGCATTCAGAAGCATAGATCTGCATGTACACAGAGCTTAGTTAGGTTATGGGCTTCAATCCAGAAGTGTCAAAAAGAGAGAACAAGAAGTGAAGCAGTAAAGAGTGGCTGGAAAACATGGAAATGTCCATGGGAACCAAAATGTTTGTTTATTTAATAGCTTTCCTGCTTCTGTACATCTGTAGCGTAAGATTTGGAATTAAAACCTGCTTTCTCGTGGCGCTGATGGATTTTGACTTGGCCTGCTGCAACTCACCCACTGCTCACTGGAAAGTCTCTAAATTTTGTTTGAACAGCAGGATTTATTTCTTGTTGGTATTCAAATAACAGGCAACAGTGTTTCAAAATTGTTTACAGTTTGCTTCCCCAAGGCAGATGGTATCTGCTTGGTTTTTTTTTCCCTCCCCCCCTTTATCTGCACCGAGCTGTTCAGGGAAGTCATCTTTTGAACTTTAAATAGATTTGTTGTCCAAGCGGAGCGTGAGTTTGAAGAAAGAAATAGCCGATATTATGAATATTGGAGCACGGGAGTGAACCTGCGTTTTTAATACTCCCAAGCCCATCTTCATAATCTATTCAGTCAGAATTTTAAATGCGATCTTTGCAGATGAAACGCCCCTTCTCCACTAGCAAATAAATAACTTGAGTACATTGACATAGCATATTTGCCGAGCATCTACCTTGAAATTACACTGTTGTCAGACTCACTCCCAGACAGCAAAATTGGTGCCCCTGCTACAGGCCTGCTTATAAAAGGGAGTTTGATATGTGATGGGAAATGCAGTAGTTTAAAGGAAATAGAAGGAACTGACTTTTTTTTTTTTTTTAAGCTGTATATGAAACCAAATAGAAGGGTTACAAAAGCTAAATAGGTGTGTTACAGGAATTTATGGAGAGGTCGTAAGGGATAAGTACACAGATGGGTGCTGGTAGGAGCTTTTTTATAGCCGTGTAATACTGTGGCAAGAAAGTCAGAGTTTCCCAGAAAATGTATCCAATCACTTGCACCTCTCAAAAGCTTTAAGTGTTGAGTTTAATCAATAATATATTTACATTATATGGATTTACATTGAATTAAATGGAAGATTTAGTGTTGTAACTGCATAGCTGCAAGTTTGGGTTGTTTTATTCCCCTCCCTTTTTATTTCAATTTTTCCAGCCTCCAGGGGCTGTTCCTGGGACACAGCCATTGCTGCCCAATTCAATGGATCCGACACGACAACAAGGTAAAGAGGAGCCTGGAGGCTTATGAGACTCTCTAGTTTGGCTCGTTGGCTTATAAGTCAAATGGCTTTCTCCTTCCATGTGACCTTGTTGCTTCTACTCCTGCCAGGGCATCCTAACATGGGAGGACCGATGCAGCGGATGAATCCTCCAAGAGGGATGGGCCCCATGGGTCCCGGTCCACAGGTAAACCTTAGCAGAACGTTTGTTCTTCTGTCCAGTGCCAAACAACATCTTCCGACCTTGTTCTAGGCAAACATCATCAACACAACCTCCAGGGGCTTCGAAGGCCAGGAGTACTTCTACCCACGTATCCCCCATTAGCACTAATGCACTGTCCATTAGCGCGTTGCATCTGGAAATCCCGCCTCCCAACATTGGTTTGTCTTCCAAGCTGAATCTCCTCATTAGGGACACCACCGAACCCCGTTTCAGTGTTTAGCCGAAAGGAACGATGCTTTTTAGCCGTAATCACAGAGCATCGTTAAATGCATTATCCAACTTGCCTTGGCAATGTTTGTGATACCCAGGCCAGGAAGAAGGGATGCCTACATAAAAGTTATGGAAGTACATACCATTAATAGACAGATAGCTTCCTCTACCCATTATTTTTGCTCTTACTCGATTTTGTAAACAGTTTTAGTTCCCTGGCATTGAAGCTGCTCTTTGTGTCATGGGGTTGGGGGGGAGGTTGATGCTTGCCAATCCCTCCCTCCCCCCAACTTAACCGAATGCTATAGTTTTGGGGGTTTTCCCTGGGGAAAAATTTGCAGAGTGGTCACTCACCTGTCTGCTCATGAGTCTCAGAAAAGCTGTCACCTTGTCTCTATTTTTTCCAGGTCTGTTTCAGAAGCTCTTGTCTTTGTTAAAGGCATTTCAGGAAACTTTAAACCCTTACACTCCTTGACAGTAGTAGTTCAGCATCTACGTTATTTCTAAGGATGGTTGATTTCTAAGGACAAGTTAGCAAAGCAGTGCTTAGTGTCCTGTAGCATGAATGGCAGCACAATGGGAAGCAAAGCTCTTTTTCCCCGTCGCTTCTAAGTGAAGCCAAATCCTTCTTCAGTTACATTCCTACCAGGGATGAGGGAACCAGTCCAGCAAGAAGCAAAATCTGAACCAAGTAGATCTGGGTTAATATATTCTGTCTTTGTGTTGATTCATTTCGGCAGTTGAATTCTGCAACTATGTTGACTCACTCCTGTTTGTTCCTTGTGATGGATTTAAGCAGCGGTATCCTATCTAGAGCGTGGGGCTTGGGAGTGGCTCGCTTTGAGTGCTGGAATTTGATTCTGCCGTAAATAAGTGTGTGCAAGACTGTTGCATCAAATGGGTAAAGGGAGTTAAGAAATTAGTCAGCCTAGGAAACCCTGAAAACTGCTAAAGAAGAAAAGCGAAACGAGGAAAAGTTGCATCCGTCTCCTTGGGCACAGGCTAGAACCACCTCAGAAACTCTTGCAAGCTCTTTTGTAGGCAAGTTAAGATGCCAGTAGTTTTTGGTATAAGTGGTAAAGGTCTGGGACTGTCAGGAACCGCTCGGCTCTTAATAGTCCCTCATGAATGATTATAAAAGCCTACATCTGTTATGGTTGCATCAGCCAAGGAAAGAGGGCCACAGACAGTCTGGAGGCGCCCTGCAGTTTGGGCAAAGGTGTTTGCATCCATTTAAAAGATTGCCATGGAACTTGCAAGCAATTAAGGTCACACAGGTCTGCCAGGTAGAGGGGGCAGAAAAAGCTGTGAAATGTTAAGCCTTTATTTTTTTGTTATAACATTCCCTGTCTGCACGTTAGAGTGTGGTTTATTTAATTGTCCTTTTAGAAGAAGCCCAAGTACATAAGTGGGCATAAAATCCCCTCGCCTTGTTGTTGGTACATTTTTTAGTTTTTCTGAAATGCTTTAGAATCAAGCACTCAGAAGCTTCAGTGCATGCAAGAAATGATCGAAAATATTGACCAAAAATCACTGGTTTTGTTGTGTGCAATAGATCATTGTCCACCACTTGGTACGCCTGGTACTTTCCCCAGCTAGTTTCTTCTCATTAACTGGAAAGCTTTGCACTATACAGCAGTACCTTCTAAAATATGACTTAAGTTTATTCCAAATGAAATCATAATAGTCAACCCAAGATCACCTGGCAGCACTGTGCTACCTGCCTGTTTTTCACTGCAAACCAGTTGTCTCTTACAACCTAACATAATGTTTTAAATTCTCGCTTCCTATCTCCTTTTCTTTAATGAGCATAGTTTTAACTCTGCATTTATTCATGCTGCCAAGGTTAGCTTTGTCAGAGCTTGTATTTAAACACTATTTCAAGGGTTTATAATTCTCCAGCTTTTCTATACATCTCATTTTAGCTTGACCATGCAGCTGCTTAGCACAAGTACAGTGGGTTTTTCCCCTTCCCCCTTTTAAAATGGCTTCCTCTGTTCTCTGTCAAACTCAACTGGGGGCCTGGGGAGGCCAGCGGAGCAACTGCTGTGGTGGCAGCTATGGGTCTGGCAGCAGCAAAGGATCCAGGTGTAGGGGTCCCCCTTGATGGGTAAGAGGTCTGGGAGTTGACAGCGAGTCAATCTTGCCACTGATGGCCATGTCCAGTAGGGTCAAAGGGCCCCAAATGCCATGGCACACATTCCTCCACCAACTTAAGTGGCCTGTCAGTAGCCCGGCAAACTGAATAGAGTGGCTTCATTGCCTGGATCCACCCATGGGCCTTATGTTTCGGGTGTGACCATATTATTTTTAAGGAAATCCAGGACACTACCCCCCCCTCCCCCAGTCAACAGTGCTGCTACAGGCAGGTAGGCATGCAGGGCACAGTCCGGAGCAGCATGGAGAACTGGGCGGGCAGGTGGGCAGGCACCACTGCAGATATGCGGGAGCAAAACGAGCGGACTGGAGCAGACATCACCCTGCCCGCACGTGCCCAGCCCAGCTCCTGAGCAGCAGCGGGGGGCAGGCTGGGCTGGGCATCGCTCCTGTCCACCCGCCTTGCCCCTGCACAGCAGCACCAGTGCCTGCCCTCCCTCCTGCCTGCCTGGTGCACCATGCTGCTCTGCCTCCCTGCCAGACTGTGCCCCTGTGGCTCTAAGACTCTTTTGTTTCATTTTTCACCAACCAGCCAGACCGGCCTACAAAATCTGGGGCTGTCCCAGCCAAACCGAGATGTAAGGTGACCCTACTTCTATTTAACACCCCTGGCTTATGACTTGGTAGTGTTTTACTTTGAGGGGTAACCTTTTCCTCTTCCTACCCTGATATAGTAATGCATTTCATGTGCTTAATTCCAGTTTACGTCCACTGGACTTCAATGTATGCCTGACATTAACCCAATATTTCAGTGCTTTGCTGAAGTGGGACATTATAAGGGCCTATGTCCATACAGTACCACCCTGGTAACTGTTCAGCTTTGATCGGGAAAGAGAGTTGCCCTATCAGGACTTCAGGAAGAGGCCGCAGCAGTCTGGAAAAAGGCAGTTCTTTGGGGCTGTGAAGGAAAAGGGGGGATTGTAGAGCGAGTCAAGGTCCAGGAGGGGAAGGTGGGGTTAAAACAAAGATGACTTGAAACCGAGGGGATTACCTGGCAGTTTCTCTCTCCAGGGAGGCACACGCATATTGTCCCTCTCCTCAAACAGGCAAATCCCCAGCATCTTTTTCAAATGGTTGCTCTGAGCTTCTTGGCGTGAGCAAGGAGGGCAATGGGCATTTCACTGAAAACGTTTTTTGCCGCTGTTCATTGTGATTGTGCATGAGCATTGGCACAGTTTGCCCCGTCGTGGGCTGCTGATATCCTTGTCTTTGTCTTGTTCTAAAGTCCCGGGATGTTAGTTTGGGTGGTTCACTCACCGTATGGGTAAATGATGCGTTTTCAATCTGAATCGGCCCAGCAGGCCTGTCATGAGAATGGACTTAACAGAATCCACTTGGTAAGGAAGAAATTCAGTGGGGGACAGGAACAATGTGGGAAGGTTGATCTATACCATGAATGATGCACCCAGGCACTGTGTGATTTGGGAACCGACCTCCAGAGGCAAAGAAGTGCGGTCTCTGAGGTCTCCCTGTAAGCCATGGCATCTTGGAGCTTGGTGTTCCAGTAGAGATGTTCTTACAGAATCGGATGCTTTTGGCAACCGTGCCATAGGCAAAATAAGCATTTATGTGGGAGATTTCTTAAACACCTGAAGATGGACTCAGTAATTTATGTTGCTTTATCACTTCTTTCCCCATACTTTTGGGCCTTGTGCTGAAAGGGCAGCATGTTTTCCTCTCCTTGGTATAGAGAGGTTGGAGTTGACGATTCAGTTGATGCGATCTCTCGCATGATACCTAATGGGGTCTGCTCTGTATGTGTTTCCCGTGTACACCCGTGCGTGCGTGTGTCTGTCCCAAGTACACAGCGTTCTGTGGTGACTTGAAGACCAGCTGTGTTTTTTCACTTAGGATGCGAGTAGGGTGGCAGGCTGCTTTTCCTTCTTTAGGAAGCTGCTTCGAACATTTGTGCTGTTGGCATCCTCTTCTGCTTTACATGCCATCACTTTCTCGTTATACCATAGCAAGAATTTCTTCAAGCAGCAACTCTCTCCTTCTCTGCATCTTTCCCTCTGATGAACAAGGGGACGGCATTTTCCCCATCTCTGCCCGTGGACTGATTTGCCTACAGGAGTTGGACTCTTTCC